GGAAGGGGTTTCTAGAGTTATTGGTGTTATCCTAAAGCTTGATCATTTGTCTATCTTTAGGTGAAAAAAATACCCATCTATCTTTGATAGAAGTCGAAATAATGTGAGATTGACGTAAATAGGGTTGCCTGATTTCAGAGGTAAAATAAACGAGAAAATGGCCGCCAAAGCTTTGTATCATTCAATGCTTGAGTCCTTCGAAACTGAACATTTACATTTTCTGTGCCTTTGACACGTTTTTCAGGAAAATCGACACTAAAACAATTCTTTTTTTTCAAATGGATCTATAAAAACGATTAAGCTACTTACCAAAAATTTAATTTAAAAATTGCTAAAACGGCAGAACAATACCTGTATCCTCGATTTCCCTAACGTGTGGCTAAAAATGTTTCGTGTCCATTTAAAAACACATTTCTGTGTGGATATGACCCAAAGACGTTGATTAACGTGAAAAAAACCCTGTAAATTTTCAGTTACCAAGGACTCTGAAGCTATGGAAGTTACAAAACTTTGGCAGTCATTTTCTTACTAAGTGTACCTCAGAACTCAGTGTCCCACACCTACATCAACCAAAATATCTCGACTTGTTTTTAAGATAGAGGGATTTCTTTTGATTTCAAAGCAAGGAAAATGAACAGGCTTTAAGATGATATCAATACCCCCATATGCACAAAAAATTGACGAGCGTCTGGTTCTACCGCATCGCGACATAACTACATATTTGACTCACCATTAGTGTCAAAGCCATGGATGTAGTCCGGACAAGCCTGTTTCTGCAGAGATCCAGGTGGCGCCTCGTCCCAACACAGCAGGTTGTCCCAGGCGATGCCACAGTTCCGACGTCCGCCGTCGCTGGGTTCTGGGGCAAAGAGAAACGCGTCGGGGAAATTACATTAGGATCAATGAACAAGTTTCTGAGGAGGCTTCTGAGGATCAAATGGACAGACAGGATCACCAACGAGGAAGTATTAAGAAGAACCAGACAGAGCCCGGTCAGAGATGAGGTGGGAAGAAGACGTTGGCGATGGATTAGACACACTCTCAGGAAGTCAAGCAGCTGCATAACTAGAAAAGTGTTAGATTGGAACCCACAGGGTAAAAGATCAAGAGGAAGACCTCGTGGAACCTGGAGAAGAGTCACAGAAATGGATGAACAGAAAAGTGGGAAGACGGGGAGTGATATCAAGCGACTAGACCAGGATAGGGAAAGGTGGAGAGTGTTCGTGGCCTAGATCCTGACCCAGGGTGAGAAAGGAAATGATGATGATGAATGAGTTTCGAGTCAAGCATGACACACACCGAGAAACAACAAAGTTTCGTTTTTAAGCGACAGGTCTCTGTTGTCGACTAGGTTTAGTCCAGACTGACGTTTCCTTTTTCTTTGGTTTCGTTGTTTAAACGTAAATTGATCAATTAATGAAATCTACCAACAGTCATGGTAGCATGGACAGCATGGTTCAACGACCACAGAGAGGATATAGGCACCACTCTAGAGGGTCGGGGAGAGACAGCAACCTGCGTGGAAAAGCCAGAAGAATATCCAACCAGCTGTTAACTGGCACGGTCAACAAGCTGACCCTTTCCTGGATTCCGGAGAGGCGGAATTGTTGCACCTGCACAGATGCCGATTCTCCAACCAAGTAAGTACATGTAAGGAGTGCGTAATTAGTTTTAGTAAAGTTTCACGGCGCTCGCAACAGCATAAGGTCATAATGAGCGCCAAAGGGTGGGAGTCAACAGAGAAGTCCAAACGGGAAATCAGGCTCACTCTGCTCACCTCTCTAGCCTCTACAGCACAAATAACATGTTCGAGAAAATTACGTTACGATCAATTAAAGCAAGTGCAAAATAGAAAGGAAAGACATTCATTAATTTTTTTTCGGGTAGAGCGGTTCATATGAAAGTTATTCTCTTTTATTTGACTTTTTATTAGTTTAGTATTTTAGACGTGGGGAGAGGGGAGTTGGGG